TCTGGATCCTTCCGCATCAGCCTTCCAGGTAGCCAGAGCTACAGGTGTGTGCTATGACTCCCAGCTAACTTTCAATTTATTGTAGAGACGAGGCCTCACCAAGTTGCCGGCGCTGGTCTCGAACTCACGGGCTCAGGCAATCCACTCTCCTCGGCCTCCCAAAGTGCTGGGATTATAGGCTGAGCCACTGAGCCCAGTCCTTCCTGGGTTTTTAAGGAAGGCAGATAATCCACCAATGACTACTAACCTAGGGCCAACATCCCCATGACTACTCAGGAAGGAAGTGAACTGAGAAGAGATGTACAACTTGTATTTGCTTCCTAAAGCCTTCCACCCCATACATTTCAGAACTCTCATCTCCCCAGTGCCATGAGGTCACAGAACCCTCCTTCCTTTCCCCCATACCTCCTCCCAATGCCACTGACTCAGGAAGAAGAGCAAGGAGAGGCAGACTCTGAGAAACTGAGCATTTTTATGCAAAAGACAACACATGATTCTCTAGAGAACCTAATTTAGATTATTACATCAGACTAGGTAATAATCCAGAATGAACTACATTAAAATTGTTGTTGTTTTCCCACTACCCAGGGGTTGGGAGCTTGCAAGGAACACCATGGCAGTTGAAAATAAAACAAGGCATATTTCCATTGTACATTTAGAAGTAGTTTGAATAGTTTAAGGATCCAGCTATGCATGTGTTCATACAAGCATATATGCCTGGGGTAAGTCTAGGACTCGTTTCTTCATCTCTTCAATGAGGATGAATAATAGTCCCCGTCTCAATAGCCTCATTGTGTTGAAATGATAAATGCATACATATCCCTGGGTCCCTCAGGAATCATATGGTGTATTTCCTTGGGACAGGACTGAGCAGAGTGGGGCAGAGGGTGCCTGCCTGGGCCAGTATCCAAGAGCCACCATCTCGTTCTCTATGGAGAGTTGAACAGGCCCATCCAGGCAGCAGACAGTGATGGACCCCAGGTTCTTGTTTACTATAAGTGCACATACCAGAGAAAAACCATGCATGAGAAATTGAGCGTGCAGCCACCTGTGCCCACAGAGCTGCTCTAGTCCTTTCAAAGACCGCCTTTGACATCTGCTCCTGTCCATGTGAATTTGGAGCCCCAGAGTCTGCCTGGCCTGTGCTCACCAGGGCCCGTGCTGCACCGAGCCTGCCAGCAAACCAGGGCTGAGCTCTGCTTGCAAGAACTTGTTAGAGGCTGGGTTAGAGTCTTGGCTCCCCAGTTCCCATTCAGCCTTCATGCCCTGGTAAGAATATATTATTTTCTTAGCTCAAATTGCCGTTTCCAAGTCATTATTTCTCTACGACGAGAAAACAATATTGAGTCTTATGTAATATCAACCTCAATGAATCTGGAAGTGATCATGGAATGGGTGGATTTTTTTTTCCCTCCTTAAAAAAGAGAAAAATAAATCTGAGATTGTTTGCATATGGCTGAGAATATTTATGAACTATTCCCCTTGTTTCCTCATCACATATTTTACCCAGCGCATTTGTGTGTGGTTCAGAATAAATCTTTATGGGGAGCAGAGGCAGAGAGGGGAAGAAAGCAGTTCAAGGACTGGGTATACATCAAGTCTCTGGATGTTAGTGATCCTGGATCTCAGGGCAACTGACCCCAAACTCCCTTGCTGTAGTCTGAGAGTTATCCCATCCAGAGACTCAGAGGAAGTCTTTTGAGGGAGGATTTCAAATATAAACACTGAAGGTTGCAAACATCTTGTCACTCTGTTTTCTTTCACATGCTCTTCCCTCCTACCAGAGAAGAAAGTTCAATGCAAATAATTTCATGACCTGGGTGCCAGCAGCCAAAAGCGAACATTAAATTCTATGGATGCCAGATTGAGACAGGGTCAGAGGAATGATTAGGAAGGTGGGAGGAAAAGAGCTCGTGGAGAATGTGTGAGCGCTGCCATTTTTTGTTTTGTTTTTGTTTTTGTTTTGAGTCTGGGTCTCCCTCTGTCACCCAGGCTGGAATGCGGTGACATGATCACAGTGATCATGGCTCATGGCAGCCTTGACCTCCTGGACTCAGGTGATCCTTCCACCTCAGCATCCCAAGTGGCTGGGACTACAGGCATAGATCACCACACCCTGCTCATTTTTAATTTTTTTTTAAACGAATGAAGTTTCACTATGTTGTCCAGGCTGGTCTCAAACTCAAGCAATTCCCCCGCCTCAGCCTCCAAAAGTGTTGGGATTATAGGCATAAGCCACTGTGACCAGCAGCCATTTGTTATTTGATAATATGGCAGTGTTTTTGCATACAGGCATGTTGTGTCTATTTCCTTCTGGCTGAGCCTCTCAACACGGCTTGATACCAAGGAGTATTTCAAGGGAACATAAAGAACAGGACTTTGACTGTACTTAAATAAGTCAGGGAAGCAAATCTCCAGGTCATTGACTTCTGCCTCAAGGAACTTGGCCACAGAAATGGAGCTTCTTAAAATCACCCATTCTTTGTTACACCTTGGAATTTTCAGAAATGTACTGAAACAGAGCAAGGAACAGAGAGCAGGAGGACTCCGCCTTTGGTAGTGGAATAGCAACAACTACCATTAACTGATGTCTGAGTGCAGGCCAGGCGATATGTTAGGCACTCTCCCTGCAGTATCTGAGCTAATCCCTGCAGTGACTTTACGAGGGCTAGGGATCTTTAGTCCCACTATTGAGACAACAAAACTAAAGCTCAGTGAAGATGAGGAACTCGCCCAAGGACACACCTAAGCTCCAGGATCAGTGACATATGTGGGATTTGTGGGGTCTGAAGCTAATACAATAAGTACAAATAAAGACTTTTAAAAACCAGGTGCAAGGCCTTGGAAGGGTTCAGGCAATTAAGGGACCCTGCAACTTAAGGCGAAGCAACTTCACAGTAAATCGACCTTGGGCAATGTCAAAATTTAAATACAGGTTAGCTCCAGGCCACATGACCTCTTCACTGTTGCCTCAGGTCTTCTCTCTACCATGATCATCAATTCCAGCCTTCACACTTCTGGTCAAAAATGCACAAACCAGAGTGATGAAACTGACACTTAGAGGACACCTTCAGAACGTACTGAGTTGACACGTTGCATGTTATGTCACAGTTGTGACGAAAAGAAACAACCACTCCAGTTGCCAAACTCGATCCCTTCCATCTCAAGAAATCACTGGAGATCATTGAAACTGTTTCAGAAACTCTCTTTCCAAGAAGCTTCATCACTGTTCAGGGCTCCTTCACCAGATTTTACACTAGTTTCCAGGTTCCGTGACATGGGTACACACTTGTGCAGCAGCCTATTCAGGTCTCCCAGGGGGCATTTGGAATTAGAACCAGCAATGTATCATTTTCTACTATGTATCTCTTTCCCTGGGATGATTATTAGTTGGCCAACATTTGAATTTTCCCTTCTTCATTATTGTCAAGATTTTGCTGTCGCCTCCAGAAGAAAGGGGTAGAGGGGTTTGCGTAAGCAAACAAGCACAGCATAAATCCCAAGTGCTTTAGAGAGAAAAGCATAGTGAGTATTGTTCAGGATCCACCCTCTGCCATCGCCTTTGAATAGCCTTGCAATCCCATCACAGTCTAGACAGTTACTAAAGGGAATACAAGCATTTTCCCAGCCTGCTTACTCTATTCTCCCAAAATGGAAACATAAAGCAGATGATGAAGCACAAGTTCAAATGCTACACCAGGGAGAAGGAAGTTTTGGGAAACTGTGTCCAACCTCCAGCTGGTTTCCAAACATTCCAGTAAGCCTTCAATTGATTTATCTTGGGCTAGTGTCATTCCATTGTCTCAAACAAAAGGCCTTCTATGCAAAGACAAAAAGTAGGTTATGTGAGGAGTGGCTAACAGAAGGCACATTTGGGGAAATCTGAACAAGAGTACAGTCCTCTTGGCTTTGCCCCTTGTATCTACTAGAATGAACATCAGGACCAACTCCCATTAGTTCAGTTTCAGGCTCTATTTAGAGCCTGGAACAATAGCCATTGGGGATAGAGCTGATGACATTGGTGCAGTGACTAATGACCTGGCCAGCTGCCTCTCCCACATTTGTCCTCTGCGTTCAGGTGGAAAGTTTCTATGTTAGTGTCCTATGACTGGAATAGACTGGGAGATTCTGAGCAAAATGACTTTTAGTGATAGTGACTTTCCACAGTTGTTCTTTTGGGTGTTTTGTTCTGCTCGTTCATCTAAACGAATTAAGTGAGAGGTAATTATTGGTGAAAGATGGTTAAAGTCTTCTGCCACATCACTTTCCTTTGCATGCTCATTGTTTGAGCCATAATCACGACAGTTTCCACGCAGCTGTGATTGTACATTTCTGGTGAAATTGGCTGCTCGGTGCCCTGGCCCTTTCATTTGGGACAGCACTGATTTTTAGAACAGCCTTCCCTCGATTAAATTCAAGTGTGCCTTCCTGATACCCATCGCTTCTCTGGGTGACAGCACCAAACAGGGTGCTCTATTTCTTCTGTCATGTCCTCCTGGAGGGCTTGTCCCCAACTCCTCTCTGGATAGGTTAGCTATGGTTGATACTTCCACACATTCTGGAACATGTCTCTGTCCTAGGACTTCTACACAGTTTTCATTTACTTATTTAATAATCCTTTATTTCTACACAATGAATATGTGGATTTACTTTGGAATATTGGCAAATATGGCTAAGGAAAATAAAAAAATAAAAATTGACTACTGTTACCACATTTGCTGTAAATAAGCACTGTAAAAATTTTGGTATGTATCCTAACTGTTGTATTTCTATATGTTTTCAAGGTAGAAGGTTAGTAGTGTTTGTTGTTTGGTTAGGGTTTGCTTTTTCAGGCTCATGAGTATACTTTTACTTCATCATGTTAATGGTTGCCAGATATTCTGTGGTGTGTTGGGAGCTGGCCATGTGACAAGGGGAACAGGATTCTAGATGAGCTACTGTGACTGTATCCATTGGCAAGAAGTTTGACTAAAGACCCTTCTTTTGCTCCTCCTTGCCAGCCCTTGAGAGAGGCCTGACTAAGGCTCTGAAGAAACTGGATGACTACCTAAACACCCCTCTGCCAGAGGAGATCGACGCCAACACTCGCGGGGATGATGACAAGGGGTCCCGGCGCAAGTTCCTGGATGGGGACGAGCTGACCCTGGCTGACTGCAATCTGTTGCCCAAGCTCCATGTGGTCAAGGTAAGAGAGCTCTACTCACAGGTGTTTGCAAGAGCCAGCTCCACTGTAGGCCCAGGTCACCTGTATGGATGAGTCAAGGGTAGTATCATGTCAGTCAATAGCCTGGACACTGCAGTCAGATGATAGGGACCCAAGGTCAGCCACTACTGCTCACTGACTTGTAGCCTCTCTGAAGTCCTGTATCCATGCATAAATAGGCATGTATTGCTTACTTCTAGGGTTGTTGGGAGATTAAATATGGTGGGAGACACCTGTAATGTCGTGGGAGCTCAATATACAATTGTTGCAATTATCATTATTGTATATAGTCCTGTCGTTCCAAAGACCTCTTCCTCATAGGTTTTCACTGGGGCCACACCCCTACATGTCTGTTAAATGTGTCCTCATCTGCACATCCTCCTTGTGCAAAGACCTACCTTCTCACTTCCTCTAGCAGTGTCCTAGGGTAGGCACTCACCATCTTCCTCGTCTATCAATTGAAGTGATAGAGGCTGCCAGAGGTGATGTCACTTTCTTGCTGTCATTGCACTTACCATTTGCAAGCATAATGTAAACCTTTCCTATATAACAAACCTTAGGACCTGAGAGTTGGAAATAAGGACATTTAGAGGTCATCCAAAACAATCCCACCCCATGGACAGCCTTCTGCCATGTCTGTGAAACAATCCCACCCCATGGACAGCCTTCTGTGAAGCTGTGATCACATATTTCTGGGGATGAGGAGCCCTGTGCCTGAGGAGCCAGTTCTACCTTGTTGGGTAACTCTGATTGTTAAAGCATCCTTCCTTATATTGAACCCAAGCATGCCTCCCTGCAACCTATTTGTTCTCTGGAGCAATTCAGAGCAGCTCTGCACCCCTTCATCTCATTTGAAGACAGTAGTTGTATTCCACAAGTTCTCTAAATGAGCACCTTTGCCCCCATCCTTTCCTGACCCTCATCAACCTAGTATCAGAAGTGATACCTGTTCCCTACTTTTACACGCATCCATATTATATATCATCTCCGGCAGACAGTAAGCTCTGTGAGGACAGGATCTTCTCCAAGCATGATGGTGAATATATGGTGGCCCTTTAATAAATATTAATTGATCATTTGATCATTTGTGGTAAATGTTAATGATTACTCACCAGATATTGGTTAAATTAATTGGTTTCCTATGTAGCATAGAATATGTCACTTAATCTTTCATGGCTTCAGTGTGCTCATTGGTAAGGATCTTCAGTCTTAAAAACTAAGTGATTTTGTTATATATAACAATAGATGTATATAACAAACATATACAGGGCATGTCTTTATGAATCCAGCTTATTTCTACCCTTCACTGAGAAGAATCAGATCCAATCATTTGCCAACTGGGTATAAGCCTATTGTTTTTTAGCTGAAGTTTTCGGACAGAATCACTAGCTTTCCTCCAATCAGGGCACACATCAGTGTGAGGTGAAGTCACTGAACTGTGTGTGGATTGGTTTTTCCACAGGCCTCAGTCAGAACTGGATACTGGGAAGGAATCATGCATGCATGCAGTGCTGACAGGGTGGGCAAATACAGCCTATTACTATGAAGACACTTTGTGTTTTGGGCCAAGCCACTTGTAGGTTCAGCTGAGCTATGGTTCTTTGAAGTTACTAATCGTTACCTGCCTCACCCACCAAAGCATCCTTTATTCTTCTTCTCCTCAGGAACAAGTAGCACTATATATAATTCCAGTTCAGTACCACTGTGTCAGAGGGATATCATGGAAAGAGCAGCAGACCCCGGTTCTAGTCCTGTATCTGTCACTAACTAGCTGCACGAGCTAGGGCAAGACACTTAATATTTTTGGTGCCTCAAGGAACAGAAATGGATTACATTCCTTCTCACCTCCCTTCTCTTTCTTCCTCCCCACCTTCTTTCCTTCTCTCTTACTCAAATCGGTATTGATGACCCACTCAAAAATCAAGTGTCGAATAAGGCCAACAAATGGATCTCCAGAGCCTTATGCTTCAGTCTATGCTTTTCTCAGTTTCTTCAACCTTAAATAACCGGGTCAAGTCCCTGTCCTTGGAGGAAGTGCCGTGGGGTCTTCACTGGGAATGGCTGGGGATCAGGAAGAGGATGGCCAGTGAGGCAACAAAGCCCAGGCTTTGGCTCCTATCTCTTTGCATTTCTGCTGAGCCAGCTTGTCAGATCCCAGGGACCTGGCAAACCTCTGAGGTTCAGAAACAGCAAAGGGGGAGCCAAGTCAGGCCTCCAGTTTGGCTTCAGATGCCAAAACTGAATCTGGGCTGTGGGAGCTAACTGTTTTCATATGAAAGAGCAAATTCAGAATACAAGCACGGATATTCTCGGGAGCCTCAGAGCTTGGTGGCGCGTCTTCACGGCCACTGCTCCTGTACTCCCCTCCCACCTGGTGCACCCTCAGCCTCAGCTCCCTCTGTGGAAGCTCGGATGCTCTGGCCCAGGCGCTCACTAAGAGCCTGATTTGAACTTTCACCGTCTGGCTCCCTTCTAGCTCTCATCTCCCAAAGTCAAGTCAATGTGTGAGGAAGTGACCAGTTTAGCATCCAAGGCCCAGGACACACAGAAAGGGCATCCATAGACCTTTCCTCACCGGTGTTGGGACCCTTGCCTGTCACAGTGACATATTCAGTCCCTGAAACAAACAGGAAGGGAGATACACACATGAACACAAGTACTTATTTATAAATTGCGTTTCTGTTGCTTTAAAGCAAATATTTTATCCTTTAAAAACCTAAAATAAAATCTCACCGTGGAATGGCTTAAGGCTGCTCTATGAATCAGTGTGTAATTGTGAAAAGTATTTGGGGATAGATCCTTTTACCTTACTGTGGGCAATTTTCATCCACGCTGGTAAATCTCAGCTAGTTCCCTTGGTTGGGCCACCATTCCTGCATGGGTTTGCTGTTTAGCCAAGACAGCCGCTTGTCAGAGGCACTTGGACCAACCCACGTTACCCTCATCTTGCAGTGAACAAAGGAAGACCGGGGACACCTGGTGGTAGGTGTGCTGGCATCTCTCACCGCACGTTCTCTATGAAAGGACACCTAAGTCAGACAGAACAGTGTGGGGATGGCGTCTTTGGTGGCCACACCAAATCAGTTATTTGAACTGAGATAATAACTTAATGTAAAGAAGTATTACATACTGAAGAACTGGGAAGGCAAAATATATCGAGAAGGTCTACTTTCAGGAGGCAGCTACTACCCCTAGGGCTGGGGGAACAAAGATAAGAGGTTGGGATTATTAAACCTTAGAAACTTAGGGGCCCTGCAGGTGAGGGCTCTGTGGAGCTGAACCTGGCACCTCTGTGATGGGGTTGCTGCTCAGCTGGTGCTGGGGTCCAAGCTCAGGTTGGCAGAGACCCAACCTCTACAGTGGGGTCCCTGTTGTGTACAGGCCTCTCTGAGCAACTGTGATGAAGCTGGTTCTGAGAGTGCTGGCAAAACAGTAAACTGGATTCAGCTGCTGTTTCTGGAGGGAAATGGAGACTCTGGCAGAAAGAAGCAGCGGACAGGAAGGGGCTTCTTCCACTCTTTTCCTCCAACCTTGAAGCCTCTCTCTAGTACCTCCTCTTGCCAAAATTTGCTGGCAAAACAGAGATGGTCTGGGCAGCCCCAGTCCCAGCATCACAAAGAGACAAATAGAAGGTTTGGAGTCCTAAATAAGCAACAATAGATCAATAACTGGCACATGAGGGGTTCTGAGTAGATATATTGTTTTATCAGTTACCCAGGGCTGAGGCCAAAGTGGAAAGAACTGTGGATTAGAAAGCAGGGGCTGTAATAAATATTAATGATTATTCAACAGATATTGGTTAAATTAATTAGTTTCCTATGCAGCATGGAATATGTTGCCTAATCTTTCATGGCTTCAGTTTGCTCATTGGTAAAGATCTTCAGTCTTTAAATTGAAGTGATTTCAATGAATATTTGTATACCTCACCCTGAATTGAACCCCACAATTTTAAAATAAAAATCAAAAGAGGGAAAACAAAATAAAACAAAGCAAAACTAAACAAAAATTGAAGTGATTTTCTTATATATAAAACAATAGATGTATATAACAAATATATTTGTATAATGTAAACTAGACACAAATTTTGTGATTGTATATAAAACATAAACAAATTCAATATGCAATATAAATTATATACAACATTATATATAATTATATATAACCATATACAATATAAACAAATTTTATTTATATACATTTATATAACAAATGATTTATATTACAATAGATGCACCTTGTCTGATGTTAGGATGACTGAAGATTGTAAAGATTAATGAAACTGTATTGAATCCCCAGTTGTTTAATCTCTCTTTGCCTTGTTTTTTCCAACTATAAAATGGGAATAGAATAGACTTTTTCACATAGGGTTATTTAGAGATTTGAGTAGCTGGCAAAGTACTTAAAGCAATACCTGGAACTACTTTTCACTGTGTACTAAGACCTGCAAATTAGCTTATCCTGCTTTTAGCTTTTGAGGGCTGAGATAGAGGTAGCAGAGAGGAGGATCACTTCTGAAACTCTGACTTCTGACTTCTTCCCTTGCCGCACTGTAAATAAGTGCTTGCTATTGTTGTTCCTCTGATCAACATCATGATTGCGATTATTGAGGGGTACAAATGAAATGGCTGCAGTTGCTGGCCTGATACTCCTTACAGCGGAGGGAAGAGAGAAAGGATACCGAAACCACACTTGGGATTCAGAATAGAATGCAGCCCAGTGTTGTGACAGAAGTCCAACAATGGTCTAGGACCACACAGGGGAAAGAATTTTCCCAAGCACCTATGGGAATGTGGACGCATCGGTGAGAGTGAGCTTTTCATGCAACAGGTCATCATCATCCTTCACTTGGCCCAGCTTTCTGGGGGCATCACACATCACTGGCACCCAGGTGACAATGAAAGCCCAGAGTGGCTGATCTGGGCGTTGGCTGAGCAGGAGGGTCCCAAGATCAGGGGTCTGAGCCCTCTCTGAAAAAGAAAGCAAAGGAGTCAGAAGTCAGAGCTTCGGAAGTGATCCTACTCTCTGCTACCCCTGTCTCAGCCCACAGGAGCTAGAAGCAGAAAGAGCTAATTTGCAGGCCTTAGTACACAGAAAACATAGGGGGCCCGTTATAAACTATTAAGAATTTCTACACGCTGACACCAGAGGATTAAACCAAAAGCAGACTGCTTCTTAGTGCAAGGCCATGCATAGGTCACATGTCCATGAAGCCACCCTGACTAGAGAGACCTCATTAAAGAGACCACCCTGCCTCCACCCTTGAAAAAAATGCATGCAAATAGGTTCAAACTGGGTTTCAGTGAATTATAATAGTAAATAGTGTTTATTGAGTACTAACTACATGCCAGAACTCTTCTAAGCATTTTCTGTGTGTTAACTAACTCATTATTCCAAGGTAGGTCCTATCATTACCATCATTTTGGAGATAAAGAAATTGGAGCTCAGAGGAGTTAAGTAACTTGTCCAAGGTCACACAGCTGTTAAATAGAATCAGAATTGCACATCCTGTTTGGATCCAGAGCCCATGCTCTTAATCTCTATGTGCCTGTTTCTCTCAACACAAGTGCTGCTTCCCCAGACTCTCCTGATGCACATACTCCTGAGTGTGGCAAGCCACGGAGAAAATAGAAGCCATATTTGCTCATCCTCACGTCCTCACCTGAACTTACAGACAAAGTGCAACATCTAACTTGCTTTTTATGCTTTTTTTTCCTACCAAAAATAAGAATGTTTATGTAAATCAAAGTGGGTAAGGGACAGAAGAACAGAAAAATTGTCTACAGTTCTATCAATCAGACAGGCCACTGGTAATATATCAGTATATATACTTCTAGTCATCGTACATATTCCCCCAAATGTGTTACACTTGCACCTTGAATGTAATTGTCTATCTGGAAAAGTTTTCCAGATCACTGGATTTTCCTTAGCACCTTCATTTTTAATGACCCTCCAGCATGCCATTGTATTCATGTCTTGCTGGACATCGATGTGTGCACCATTTTTCTGCTGTTCAAAATAGTTCTGGGGTCATAATTGTGTAGCTAAATCTTTGTGGACATCTATGATTATTTCCTAAGGGAAAAAATTCTAGAAGTGGAACCACTAGGTCAAAGGACAAATTATTAATATTATTATTTTTGAGTTGGAGTCTCACTCTGTCACCCAGGCTGGAGTGCAGTGGCACGCCCACAGCCACCGCAATCTTTAACTGCTGGGCTCCAGCGATCCTTCTGCCTAAGCCTTTCAAGTAGTTGGAACTACAGGCGTGCACTACCACACCCAGCTTATTTTTTGATTTATTGTAGAGACGAAGTCTCACCAAGTTGCCCAGGCTGGTCTTGAACCCCCAGACTCAGGCAATCCTCTTGCCTCGGCCTCTCAAAGTGCTGGGATTACAGTCTGAACCACTACACTCAGTCAAGGACAAATTATATTAAGAAAATCAGATAAAATAAAATAAAATGAAAGCAGCACTGCCATCTTGCATTCAGGTCTATTGCCGACAGCTCGTTGTGCTGCGTGGAGGTGTCCCTGCCGTGCACACACACGGGGTCGACCATGGACACTTCCTAATGATCTGTTTCATGTCTTCACACTATCTCTGTCCTCCCACCTCTGTTTTAGATTGTGGCCAAGAAATACCGCAACTACGACATCCCGGCTGAGATGACAGGCCTGTGGCGGTACCTCAAGAACGCCTACGCCCGGGATGAGTTCACCAACACGTGTGCAGCTGACAGTGAAATCGAGCTGGCCTATGCTGATGTCGCCAAGCGCCTCAGCCGATCCTGAGCGCAGCCATCCCACCCCATCCTACTGCAGAAGGACTGGACAGCTCCCCTGGGACTCAGGCTTCACAGACTCCTCTTCCTCATTGCCTCGGGAAGCACTTTTAAAAACAGGCCTCATTTTGCTGGCATCCCTGGAACTCCAGCTTGCTAACTTTCACCATTTAAAAACAGGCCTCATTTTGCTGGCATCCCTGGAACTCCAGCTTGCTAACTTTCACCATTCCTGGCCTCTCCCGCAGGAATGTGGCAGGCAGATGTGATGGACACAGGCCACCTCCCAGCCTGCCAGCCTGAACCAGGTTCAGCCTGTTGGGGTCAGTCAGTGTGACTGACGAGCCCACACATGGGATTGCCACTGGCCCTCCTGCCAATATCAGAATATCTTTTCAGATGCTTTAGAAACATGCAACGCCAGCTCCTCTTCCACCCTCCTCCTTGTTGGTAACTGCAAAGCTGGGGACAAATGCCATCTTTGTTCTTATTAGAAAGAGACCTACCTCCCTGTTAAGGGAGACAAAGAGCGAATGGAGGGGCCAAGTGGGCTGTGGACTTGGGTATCTATCTGGCAAACACTTCTTCATCCGCTTGTTACTTCTGACACTTCTGCCACTGGGGCCTGAAGGCCAGGTTGATTGGAAAGTCTCTTCAGACACATTCTCAGCTTGCTGCAGTGCTGGAAATGCTGCAATGCTGCTGTGCACCTGGCCAGTGCTACCATGGTTTTCTGCTGTCCAGGCCTTGCCAGGAAGAAAAAATTGGCACCCAATTCCAAAGTGCAGAGGGGAGGAGGGTGGGAGGGAAGGGGAGGAGAGCTGTGTCGATGCCAAAAGGCCCACCGGGCTCTACCAGCCATGGGGTTTGCTCACTTAGGAGTAGTTTTTTTCTTTGGTGATTACATGCCTGGGTTTCACTGTGCTTACCAACGAGTGACTTTTGGTCAAAATCAGAAAGCAAATGGGAGTGGGAGGAGAAGGGATGGACGAGGATAAAGGAGTTCTTTATATGAGGCTTGATGTTCCCTGGTAAACTTTTAAACAGGTCTTCTCTCATGATCTAAGTCTTGGGCTGGTGATGTCATGTCACTACCAACCTTACAGTAGAAACCTAAGAATTGGCCAAACATGTCTTCCTGGTCCCTCCAAGTTGCTTCTAGATGTGGGTCTGCTGGCTGGGTGCTCAGGCTGTCACTCCTCTCCTGGCTGATTTGGCTGCAGCCTTCCTCTCGTGGGTGAGAGACACATTGAGGGAGTGGCATGATCATGAAATGCCTTAGGAAGAAGGTCCATGGGCTTTTCTGACCAGGAAGCCATCTGGTTTGAACTCGAAGACAAATAGATTCTTATCTGGGTTAATTTTGCACCAGACTCAACTGCTAGATGAACCCAAAAAAAAAAAAAAAAGGGAATTTTTTTTGAAGCTAATTTTTCACTCCTTACTCACTCTCCTTGAGTTTCACCTCTTTCAAAGCTTACCAGCATCAGAACCTGTATAGAGGAAACAAGAAAAATGAATCAGTCAACTTCCTCTCACCATGAACACCCTATGAGAAAATCCATCCGCCACAGGCCCTCACGTTGAACAATCCCCCCTTCTGTCTTCTCATTGGGAGAGGGTGAGGCTCCCAAGTGCCGGAAAGCCCCTGGACTTGGCTCATTTCTCAGCAAGGGCAGGACAGCACGGGTCCTTTCCATAGAAACATCAACAAATTCTTACTCAAGCAGTCCCTGGACCTACCTGCCTCCAGGGATCTCTGGGGGGATGGCGGGGAGAGTGACCCATTGATCAGATCAGAGAAGAGGAAGCAGGAGGTCTCCTAGAGCCCATTGGGAAAGAGGAACTTTCTCATTAGGATGTTTTATAAGCCTGAGAAAGCTTTGAAAAGGCAGAATGAGTTGATTCATTTCCACCTCTAAAGGAATCTTTCCAAGACTCCCTGGAAACTTTGCCCCTAGAGATGTTTAAAAAAGGAGAACTGGTGAAGGAACCATTCTTTTTACTGTAGGGAAAAGTCCCAAACTGGCCTCCTGGGGGATGAGGGCTCAAATGATCCCAAAGGCATTTTAATTAGTGTGAAATCCTGTTGTACTCAGAAATCCTTCCCCGAATTTACAGCACAGGCAAGATGACCTAAGAGGCAGTTCACTTTCCTGAGACCCACAGTTGAGCTGTTGTTGACACACATTCGTGAAGCATAGCCAACCGTGACAGGAAAAAAAAAAAGAAGGAAACCCAGAAGGAAACCCAGGTGTAGCAGCCTCACCCCAGAGGAGTTCATAGAATCCTAAGGACTCAGATTTGACAAGTAGAATTCAGCAACTGGTGAGCCATTCAAAACAAATAGGCCAAACCAAGTCAATATTATTGTTTCTAGATGTTGCAGTTGAATTAGTTTTACACAGATAACAATATAAAGGCACTGAGGAGGGTTGTTTATAAAATCAACTATAACCATTTAAAAGAGGAAGGAGTTCTAGAAGGAAGGCACTTCTGGGTACTTAATTCAGAAATCTCTTTATAGTTCACCAATAGATGACCATATGATGCAAGTAACTTTTACTAAGAGTTATGATGTCTCATGACCAGATTTATCATAGTATCTTAAAATAACAATAATATTAACAATTATTACCTCCCAGTTATTATTATTTATTTCAAAAGAGATTTTTTTCTCCAGATCCTTCAACCTCTCTGGACTTTTTGTCCTATGCATAGCATACCATTTCCCAGCAACTGCATGGTGAGGTCCTTGGGTGCCCCCATGAACGACTTAGGGAGCACTGGAGGGCCTGCAGTTTGAACCCCACACTCCAGAGCTTTAGGATAGGAAGCATCCTCATTATGGGTACTGAATGAATATTGATTCCTCAGAAAGCATTTTGGTGGCACAGAAAGGGGATCTATCTGTGTTGAAGTCCACTCTTATTTTGTATTTATTTCTCTCCCTCGACTTTCACAACACCGTTTTTCTGGGTGGGGTAATGGGAGCCAGAGGTGGAGCAAGAGTCAATCTCAGAATGATTGAGTTAAATTCTTCCTCTCTTCAGTTCTGCCTGCCTCTGAGGTCAACCCAGAGAGAAGGCGTTGAGTAAGATTTGAAAAACTACAAAATGTGAGCTAGATAAGCAAAATCTGATTAATCCAGAGCATAATTTCTCCCTCTCCTGATAAAGGAAGGCAAATGCTTGAGGAGTTCAGACCTGAGTATGACTATTCTCTTTTAAACAAGGGTTATAGCTATCTGGCATCGAATAAATGAGTCGAAACGTCTGAAACACTGTCAGTTTCAGCTTACTTGGTCACATGATCCCAAACTAGTTTTAGCTTCCCAGGGAAGGACACTATCCTCAACGTTTTCTTCTTGGGCCGGTGGGGCCAGCGAAGATCTTGATCTTTTCATCAGAAAGAGGCCACACCAAGAGTGAAGTTTCCTGGGCTAAGTTTTCAGGCCCTTGTCAAATGAAACAAGAGAAGCTCTTCATAGTCTCTGGGTCCCATGACCACTCTGCAGACAGACATTATCAAGCATCTTAGAATTGTCACAAGATGGATCATGCCTGGAATAGACCCTGGCCAACCTGAGGAATCAGCAAGACCTGGACAAAACGAGTTAAGAGGGAGGAGGAAACAGGAAGGTGCACATCTATAAGAGTTCACCATCACTGTGAAAGTTTGTAGAGAGTCTAAAATTAAATTGATCTAGAAGCAGCAGGTGTCCAGTAGGTACTCCTACAACTCATCTCCTTTCCAAGGCCCAGGAGACATGTCAATTGTTCAGTGAATCAAGATGCTGGTGTCATCCTCCCTTGGAAAGAGGAACCATTAACTCATGGTTAAAACTAAGTTCAGTGATTCCCAAGGGATCACTTTCTTCTTATCATTTTCATATATGACATTTAAAATAATCTTATAAAAGCATTAGAACAATGTGTGTTTGTGAAGCAGCTTGATTCTGGTGTTAGGAGAATTAAGTGAACAGGACACTCTGCACATGGCTCTTTGTCTTCTCTCCATTGCTCTTAACCGTTCAAATCAGATGACATGTGCCCTCAGCAACCACATTCTTCTCCCTTCATCCGTATTCTTTTCCCAGCTAAGTTTCAGGATACTGTCTTCTCACAATTAGGGGTGCTTCAAAATGTGCATCATTTCACTTGATATTAATTTCACTTGATATTATTTAAGGATATAGATACAATTCCCCCTTGCCTCCATAATAAATAAAATAAATAAAATATTGCCTCCATATAAGGTTTGGGTTAATCTGCATTTCTATAAAAGTAATCTGCTTTTTATTTTTTGGCAAAAAACATACTTTTAATGATTCAGTTATCTAAGATATTTTGTGTATAGTTAGAGATTTCATATTATTGACCATGCATATAATTAAAATACAAGCCATCCAGCTGATGTTTGAATTTGTCTTACTTTCTTGGCCACCTGGTTATCTCACTTTATAAGCTGAGGAGTTAACTAATTTATCAAAAAAAATGCCTCGCTTTTCTAAAAGAGCAAGCATTCATTTTACAAAGACACTCCAAATGATGATTACTTGATTTTTCTCGAGACCTTTAACTGTGGTGATTAAAATAACAAGACTTTTTTTCAGGCCTTAATAATTGTGAAATGCCTTTTAATGAAGATATAACTGAGTGCTTTCCTCTTGAATCTGAACCAGTTATAAATTTGTGTTCCAGTCTTGATTGGTATTGACTTATTCAAATAAAGTTGGTTTATTTTCAAATATTACAAAAGTTGTCATTTTATTTGAGGTGAGGCTTTTCTATGCTGCTTTAAATGAGTATGAAATATCTCTTTTTTCCACATAAAGGCAATTTTATTTTGCCACTAGAAAAAAAATATATTTATTCTTCTTAAAAATCAAGACCAAATAAAAAGAAAAGGAAGAAGAAGAAAGGAAGAGTGAAAAACAAAAATCATGTGAACCAGCCGTCCTAAAGCCATGTTTTTTTTTAGCAAGGTTAAACATTTTTTTATGGTACATGGGCTAGGTATAAAATTAAGCTGGTACCCTGTCATGTTTCTTATTTCCTAGCTGTATTGTCATACCTGGGGGTAGATCAATAGTGACAATCCAGGTGTGATTTGAAGAATACCTTAAAATATTGGTCTACTTGTGT